CCACATAACACTACATTAACTAGTGTACCACATATCATAGAATGGGCTGACCTTGGTGCCTTCGACCCATTGGTATGGTGAGGAGACTCACCTTCTCAAAATGCTGAACTGATGAGATAAGATCGGATAAGTCCCAACACGCAGCTCCAACTCAACTGCCTACAATCATCATGTGATTTTTTTTTGTCAAAATTTCAGAATACCAAAATACCCTCAAGGTCAAAATTGGTCAACCCTAGTCAAAGTCCAAGTCAACAGTCAAGGCCAACAGCCCAAGTTGTCCCCAACTCGTCGAGTGCATCTAGCAACTCGTTGAGTTCCTTCAGAGTCTAGAAAACCGGGACAAACCCTAGCCAACTTGTCGAGTTTTCCCATCAACTTGTCGAGTTCACTCAATATCCAGTAGATGGGGAAACCCAATCTAACTCGTCGAGTTGCCAGGGCAGCTCATCGAGTTTTCCCCATGTTTGCTTATTCGGATGATATGTTGATTGCAGGGGATTGCAGGGATTCTAGGGCTTAGATTTGAAACCTAAATGTGTCTAGAAGGATAAAGTTTCACACTTTATCCTCTAGAACCACTCTAAATGCTCTAAAGCCCTTAACAAAGGTTGGAAATCTCAAAAGCTTAGCCATGTGGTTCAAGACTCTAGGGATATGGAATCCATCCTTTCCAGAAGAGGTTCTAATCCTCAAAACGTTCCAAAGATGGAGACTTTATGGACATGCATGTCCAATGCATGTCTTGATGTCAAAATGGCCAAAGAGGGAAAATATACTCTAAAATCCATGCATGGCATCCATTCTTGAAAAGCTAGATCTAGCCCACTATGGGACCATTATGCCCTGGAGATTCATAAAGCTGAAAACTTTATGAACCCCATGCATGCAATCGACAAGAATGATAGGAAATGAAGAGTAAACTCAAGATCTAGTCATACTCTTAGATAAAAATCGAATCTTGAGTGCTTACAATAGTCCACAAGATGGTCAAGCTCAAGAGTGAGGGCTTTGTTTGCTGGATCTTCTCCTTCTTCTCTCTATCTTCTTTTTCTTAAGCTCCAAAAGTCACTCTAGTTCACAATATGAGAGAAAATGGAGATTAGTGTTTAACACCGACGTTCTTAGGGTTTGGAGGTTGATGGAAGATCAACCTCAAGGTTTTAAAGAGATTATATAGGGTGCAAACCCTAAAATTTAGTGTTTTCCTTTACAGCACCGTCTCGTCGAGTTGGGCCTTCCAACTCGTCGAGTAGGTCCTAAATCTTGCGTCCAAAATCGATCTCTACTCGTCGAGTTGGGCTCCCTAATTCGTCGAGTCCCAATACAAAACCCTAAAAAATTAGAAAATCAAATGATACCTGGAACAGGCATTACACAAATAATTAAATCATACAAAAATTATGCCAAATCGTCTCCAAGTTGAAAGAGATTTGAAATTATGCTTGTCTTGCTTTTTCAAGTTGTATGTTTTAGCTTGGAGCATTGCTTTTTTAATTCATGTTCATATAATTGTTCAAAATTAAAACAAATGAGATGCGAATTGCAAAACAATATACATGAAGCATTTATTATATATGCATCACATCTGATTCATGCGATTGACATAAAAACAAAAATTGAAGTATAATTCAAACAAATAGCAACAAAACACACCTTATTATAATGATTAAAGGAATCAAGATTGACAAAGTTATCATCAAAAAGCATAGAAATAACCTGAACAAAAATCCACACATTGTATGATACATTGAACAAATCCATAAAAGGGAAAACAAAAAACAAAGTAAGAACATGAAGAAATTCTTGAATTACCCACCTCGATCCGGTCATTGGCAGCAACTTTGTGAAGAGCAGAATAACGATCATCGATGACCATTTGTTCAATAAGATCAGTACCTCTCTCCAAAACACTCCTTACAAACAACAAAATAGTCGAAGAACTATTAGAAATTTACCTATATTAATAAGAACCGAGCAGTGTGTGTGCTTGGAGAGGTTAATTAAGTTGGGATACTCTCGTCATTCATCAGGACTTGTTGGATCACTTTGTTGTGTTGGATAGGCTGCATCAAGAAGAAATGTAAACACCAAAACCCTTCCCCTTCGTTGAAATGACATGTCTTTAGAGAAAGTAACAACAACAAAAAGCAATTTAGAACAAGTGTACCCAAAACTACATTTACAAATTACAGGCATGACAATTATCTCAGTTTTAGATCAATTCTTGTTGACTAAAACCCAAAATTGAAAAGAAGAAAGTTTATTTTACCAAAATCCGTATCAGGATTGAAAGCTTTCAGTAGATGATAGTAATGGGGGAGAGAAAAAGAGAGAGAGAGAGGGGGAGAGAGAGAGAGAAAAGGGCAACTAATGAGTGGTGCGATGGTGTTAGTTGGATTAGTGTTTCAAAAGTTCGATCTTCATTACCATTTCCTTGAATAGAGACATAGGTGCACCATCTGAACTTTTTTGTCATTGATCGGGTGGCAATTGTGGTTTAGATCCGAGAAACAGGGGGGAGAGAGAGGGAGAGAGAGAGAGGAAGTCTGTGAGTCATGAGAGATGCGATGACGTTGGCTAGATTAGGGTTTGAAAAGTTGGATATTCATTACAATTTTCCTGAGCAGAAACATATGTGCGATTGTAGTTTTAAGAAGAGAAATAGAGGTAGAAAAGATTAATGGAGGAAAGGATGGCTGATGACCTATTTTAGGTTGTAACAACAACATGAGGAGGGTGGTGGTACCGGAGGGTTGCCGAAAACTGGAGATCGTAAGGAGAGAGACAGAAGAGATGTAGGTTTGAGGGCATTAAAGGTGTATAGAGGAGGTTAGGGTTTAGTGTTTTCAAGATCTAGAGATAGTGTAAAGATATGATGAGGTACATTGTTAGATGTAAAGCTTCATAAGGTTGCACGTTATGTTGTAATGAATACACCTCTTAAATTTCAAGAAATATCTAAAATGTTATATATATATATATATATATATATATATATATATATATATATATATATATATATATATATATATATATATATATATATATAGGTTTAGGTTCATTTGAGATCATTCTAATTTTGTGAGACTGTGAGACCAAATCTAAAAATAATTTTAAAATGCAAAATAAATGGAAAATCCAAAATTTTTTAACTAAAAAAAATAAAAAAATTCTCTTCTGATTTTGAGATCATTCTAATTTTCGGAACTTGAATTAACTAAAAAAAATAAAAAAATCCCGTTTTTTTTTTTGAAAAATACGTGAAATATTATAAATAGAATATTACACTGACATATTCTAAAAATTAATTTTAAAATGCAAAATAAATGGAAAAATCTAAATTTTTTTTAAATATTATTTTCGGAACTTGAATTAACTAAAAAAAAAATCCTATTTTTTTTTTGAAAAATATGTGAAATATTCTAAATAGAATATTACACTGTACATATTCTAAAAATAATTTTAAAATGCAAAATAAATGAAAAAATCAAAAATTTTTTTTTTTTAAATATTATTTTCGGAACTTGAATTAACTAATTTTTTTTAAAAAAAATAAAAAAAATAAAAAAATGCGTCTCACAGTCTCACAAAATTAGGCCGTCTCACATGAACCTAACCCTATATATATATATATATATATATATATATATATATATATATATATATATATATATATATATATATATATATATATATATATATATATATATATATATAAAGAATGTGGTACGGTGCAGTTTGAACCGCAAATTTGTAACTATAAACCACAAATCGCACCGCAAAATGCGGTTTATAAAAATTACAAACTGCAAACCCCCCCATGAACGTTGAAAACCGCATTATGCGGTGTGGACGGTTTGTACGATTTATGCAGTTTTGTGCATACCCTAACAATAACTATAAAATTACATGTGACGAAATCAATATGAAAGTGATAAGTGGTAAAAAGATCTTCATTTATTTATTTATTATTATTATTATTATTATTATTATTATTATTATTATTGTGTGGCTTTTGATATGTTATAATTGGGAACCAAAATTTTCTTTGGTTATATAGTTTTATTTCAACCCCCTAAATATTATAGTGTGCTTGTGTTCCTCCTCAGCCATGTGGTACGGTCGTTTATATGACAGAATAAGAGAAGCCCTAGTGAGACTTTCCTTGTTCATAGATTATTACCTCGTTGAAAGTTTCCTAATGGATTATTACCTAATTGAAAATTTCTTAATTCACTGAATATTCCAACCTGGAGAACTAGGATGCATGATTAACATATATGGGTCATAAAATATGTTTGGAAAGCCTTTCCAATTCAACTTTACTGTGTGGTCCTCGACACAGACAGAAATAATAAAATAAGGTAAGAAAGACTTATTAGTTAACTTAATTACAACTACAGTCATTTAGTGCAATGGTAGCCATACACCTGTTTCATGGCATCAATAATGGAAAACAGATTAAGCCCTGCTGTAAGGTGAGGATGATTTCATGCCAATTTTTTATATGTAGTTTTCATCAAGACAAATACTTATTCAGGAGTCTTCCTACGGATTCACGTATCTCCTTTTCAGTTCAATTCTTACCATCTTTTCACGACTTTGACTACTGACAATTAATAGCAAGTCATGCTATAAGTTTAAGTTGAAAATTGAAAACTTATCACTGTTTTTAGCAGCCTCAGGAGTGTTTGGTATTCGATGTTGACAGTTTCATGTTATTTATTAGATTAGGTTCTTTCCATGGTGTAAGATGATTGGTTTTCTTGATTAATCTCCAATCAGTACATGGAAACTGGTCAAGATAACTACGAGGTTCAAGAAAACCAGCTAAACGTTATTCAACAGGAGTAATCTCTATCTCCTTCCATAAAGGATTTGCAGTAGGAGGAAGCATGTAGAATCCAGTTGTCTTTCACTTATCTTGATACCCATATCTTTTTCTTCTTCAAGTCCCACAGTTTTTTACTATCGTGCTTCCATTCTATCTCTTTTCAATGCAACGAGTCCCGTATCTCATTCTCTTAACTCTTTTCCTACCACTTTTAGTTATCGCACAACAAACAAACCGTTTTGTATCTGTTGGAGCAACACTCACAGCTACAAACGATGCCATGCCATGGCTCTCACCTTCTGGAGATTTTGCCTTCGGTTTCCAACTTATTCAAGGTCAAAATAACTTCTTGTTATCCATATGGTTTGACAAGATACCTGAAAAAACCATCATCTGGTATCCAGAAGGAGGTCCTACAGTGCCTAGAGGGTCGACAATTGAGCTAACAAATGGACGTGGACTCGTTCTGAGTGATACTCAAGGCAAGGATGTATGGACTTCTGGGTCGACCTCAGATATTGCTTATGGTGTCATGAATGATACAGGTAACTTTGTGATTGTTGGTAATGAATCTCGCAAGATATGGGATAGTTTCGAATTTCCATCAGATACTATGTTGCCCACTCAGGTTATGGAGAAAGGTGGAGAGATTTACTCAAAAATGAGTAGAACTAACTTCTCCAGAGGAAGGTTTCAGCTACGTCTGCTTGAAGATGGGAACCTCGTTCTTAATACTCGAGATATATCAACCAATTATGCTTATCCTTCATACTATGCCACTAAAACTGGTGATCTCTCCAATCAGTCGAATTCTGGTGAACAGCTTATCTTTGATGGAGTCGGATACTTGTATTTATTGAGAAGAAATGGCAGCAAATTTGATCTTACTCCAAGCCAGGAACTTCCATTTGGAGACTATTATCACAGAGTTACGCTGGATTTTGATGGGGTTTTTACCCAATACTATCACTCCAGGGATTCCACTGATAATTCAAGCTGGGAACGTGTATGGTCATATCCAGGAAACATATGCCTTAGTTTCCTTGCTTCTGAAGGAAGTGGGGCATGTGGATATAACAATGTCTGCAGCCTTGATCAGAATAATCGACCTAAGTGTGAGTGCCCAAGAGGGTTTTCATTGCTTGATCCCAATGATCCATATGGTGATTGCAAACCATATTTCTTTCCAAACTGTGACAAAGGTGCCTCAAAAAAAGAAGATATCGATTTTGTGGAACTCAAGGATATTGATTGGCCAACATCTGATTATGTCATCATGAACCCAACTAGTGAAGTTGACTGCAAAAACTCCTGCTTAAATGATTGTTTCTGCGCTGTTGCAATTTACAGAGGCAATAAATGTTGGAAGAAGAAGCTTCCACTCTCTAATGGAAAGGTTGATGTTTCACTTAATGTGAAAGCTTTCGTGAAATCTCGGAAAGGTGATCTTCCTCTTGAAAACCCTCCTCATTTTTCTGGAAGCAAGAATAATCGGCAAAGTTTGATAATCGTGGGTGCATCCCTCCTTGGTACCTCTGTTTTTGTAAACATCATATTGTTTCTTGTCATTTGTCTTGGTATCTTTCTAGTCTACAAGAAAAACACTAGCAAACTGAATCCAGATTCTGAAACGAATCTGATTCGATTTAAATATCAACAGCTTGTCCATGCTACTAATGGGTTTAAAGATGAACTTGGGAGAGGAGCTTTTGGAATAGTCTACAAAGGGGTAATGGGGACAAACACTGTGGCAGTGAAGAAGTTGAATCAAATGGCTCAAGATGGTGAGAAAGAATTCAGAACCGAAGTCAATGCTATTGCAAAGACTCATCACAGAAACTTGGTTCAGTTGCTTGGCTTTTGTGATGATGGTGAACATCGGTTGCTAGTTTATGAGTACATGAGTAATGGTACTTTGGCCAGCTTTCTATTTGGAGAAATGAGACCAAGTTGGAATCATCGGTGCCATATAGCATTAGGCATTGCAAAGGCACTTTCGTACCTTCATGAAGAATGTAGCACTCAGATCATCCATTGTGACATTAAGCCTCAGAATATACTTCTTGATGAGTATTATAATGCTCGTATTTCTGACTTTGGACTAGCGAAGCTTTTGGTGATGAATCAAAGTCGAACAAATACTGATATTCGAGGTACGAAAGGATATGTGGCTCCAGAGTGGTTTAGAAACGCTCCAGTCACAGTAAAAGTTGATGTCTATAGCTTTGGTGTGTTGTTACTAGAGATTATTTCATGTCGAAAGAGTGTCAAAGAAAATGAGAGTGGTAATGAATATGAAGCAATCTTGACTGATTGGGCATGGGATTGCTATCAGGAAGGTAGATTGGATTTGCTTGTTGAGAATGATTTGGAGGCTCTTGATGACTATAAGAAGCTAAAAGTGTTTGTGATGGTTGGACTTTGGTGTGTTCAAGAAAACCCTTTGTTGAGGCCAACCATGAGGAAGGTCATTCAGATGCTTGAAGGGGTTGTTGAAGTGACTGAACCTTCATGCCCGTTCCCTTTCTCTCTTACCTTAGGTTAATCTTGAACTGGTTTTACATTTCTTGTTTAGAATACATTCAGTTTATTCCTATATAGTTGAAGAGTCTAATCAAGTAGCAGATAAAGATATTACATGCCTGTTGATGTTTGTTTCTCTGACATTTATATCTGTTGAATGTTCTATGTTAGCATCTAAGGGTGGAGTTGCTTAAACACACCCTTCTTTGAGCAGCCAGTTTTGCTTGGGTTGAGTTTGATTTTGATCAAACCCTCTGTGCCAAGATTATTACATGCAAAAAATGATGGCTGCTTTGTATTCTCTCTTCCTCAGATTATGTGATTGTGCATGCCCATAGATCTCTAAGTTTAGTTACCCCCAAATAGGCTTTAACTTTTTTGGAGATGTAACTTTAATGAAAATGATGTATCTCATTTACTTGATCATTCATTAATGAGAACTCCAAAAACAACATATCATTCAGGAACATGTCATCATTCCCATAGATTGCCAAAGGGTTTGGTGGTTTACCTTTTGGTGGAGTAATACAACCACAAGGACAATTTCTTTGACCGATTTACAATAAGAATAGTGAGAGATGTATCAACCCACCAACCGCTCCATGTTGTTTTAACCTCCTGCTTATGGTTAACATCGTTTATGATTTGGCATGTCTAGATCATTCCTTGTTGAAGATGCTCCGGTTTTTTTTCTGCAATCATGACAATGTGTTGCTGTCAGAATATAACATTTTCTGAAAGTGTTGTATTTGACCGATATGCATGAACATGTTCTTTTCATTTTTATACAAGTTGCATTTTAGTAAAATATTGTGAGGGCCGAAAAGTCCATCTCTTGTGGATTTTTAACTTAGAGGGTGTTAGAGATTTCTTTTAAAAATGATTTTTTTGGATTTTGGCTTTTCTTAAAAATCTAAAAGTTTGAAAAAATATTTGGCAAATCTAAAAGTTAATTTGTAACTTTTAGGTAAGAAGAAAAAAATGGTTTTAAAAGTTAGAAATTGGTGACTTTTAGCTTTTTGGCCATTCCTTTTTCAAAATTAATTCAAATACATTTTAAATCATTCTTTTGGAAAGATCTTTAAGTAAAAAAGTTTTTATATTGAAAAAGACTTTTTAGGTTAAAAAGCAATCCCAAACACCCCCTTATTGTCATAGACACTGCTTGTGAAGCTGTTTGGAGGATTTGGGATGACGAAGAAGAGGGTGATAAAAAGGAGCAGGTTACCTCAACGCCTGCCACATACATTTCGTTTTCAAATAGCACCAAAAGGGTGTTCAAGTTAAGGGGAAAAAACCATTAAAATCGAAGAAGAATAGTCACACCCTTTCAAAAAATCATCCGTTTGGGTTGGAAGGAGAAATCATTTTTTTTACAAAAATTGTATTGTTTAAGTTTAGAATTTTCCCTTAACTCAAACAATACAATTTTTATGAAAAAAATGGCTTCTCCTTCCATCCCAAAAACTCAAAAAAATAACAAAAAAATGGTGTGACCTTCAGATTTCAATCAAGGGTTTGTGTAGCTTCTTCCCGTAAAGGTAATCTTCGATCTATATTTTCCAAAACCCAAAATTGTGGCCTTCATATTTATCGATCTTAAACTTCCCATCTTCAGCCATAACTTTGATACTGGTTGCAGGGTTTAAGCACTTCAACAATTTGATACACAATCTCACACACACAGTAATAATGCAAACGAAAAATAAAGCACCATTTTTAACTTGGTTCACACAACTAGAGTCGGGACCCATACTTAGTATGCCTATAGTGGCTATATATCGGTGAAAGAGTGAATCAGTCTCCAAAAATTAGCAATAACAATTTGGAGTTTTTAGATGATTACAAGAACCCGATAAGGTTTGTTAGGCTGGAAGGAGTGGTGCCACCAAAACCGCACTCCCTTCACTGCCACATGTGCGCCACATCATTTTTTACCACATAAGTGTGGTTTCTTGCCACACACAAGGAGTGAGTGGTGCCACACTTTTTTTTTTTAAATAATTTAATCAAATAAAACTTATTTTTTAAAAACAAATTACATTGCATTACTTGGGTTTATTTTATTATTTTTACAATGGATAAAATCTTCATTTAAAAAAAAGATAATATTTCATTAATTAAAAATAAAAATGCCATACATTGCTTAACTTAAAAAAAAAACTAAAAATTTAGAAAAGCAAATTAGAAACATAAAACATACAACTTAAAAACATAAAAAAATAAAATAAAAAAATACACAAAATGATTAACAACTTGAAAAAAAAACTAGAAGTTAGCCACGATTTGCGTAACGTTTTTTCACTTCCTCCTTCATCGCCAAAATAACTTGAAGCTCATCCCCGGTCATATTCGTCGTGTCCAACGATAATACTCTAATGTCACAGTCTATTTGTTTCCGAAGCTCTCTTTCAGAAACAATTTGCAAAATCGTGTCCATTCTATCTTTTATACCCTTCATGTCAGCCCCTATTTCTTTCAACTCGTCTGAATCCGACACTTTGCCTTTGCCTTTGCTTTTTTGCTTTGTCTCTTCCCATTGGTCGGAAGGTGGTGAAACTAGAACAGGTTCATCTTCGTTCAGATCAAATTAAACACGAGCATCTGATGTAGTGTGGTCGCACTTAGATGTTCTGTTGCATTTTGAACCACTATCGATATGATCGTCTGATGTTTTGATGTTTTGCCATTTCTTGTTATCTTTCATAAAATTCCAAACTTCAAGAAACTTGAAAGCCTTCAGATTTTCTTTTTGATACACTTTCAGCGCTTTCCTCAAAATCACATCATCCCTTTCTACACTTTTCCATTGACGTTTCATATTGGTATACAAATCATTAAACAACATGATTTCCTTGTTCATCTTCCCTTATTTTGAGTACACTTGATGTTTTGAACGATATTCTCCACGGTTCATTCCTTTATGGAACCTATGTAAAATGCGAATCCAAAAGTCGTCATTGTTAGATGCATTTTATATGCATCTTTTTAGCACAATTTCCTTGTTATTTCATTATAAAAAGCTAACTAACTCCTGGTTATTCTCATGTATTTCGTGTTTCGTGATTATTTTGTAGAATGCCCATAATGCTCACTTTTGTTATGACTTTTCAGGGTAATTTGGAACACATGGATGATTACACGAGTTCATGATGCGTTAGTGGATGCTTTGGAGCTTAACTGGAGTCTAGACCGAGGAAGGATGCCGAGAAATGATCAAGAACTGCTTGGAAGGAGGAACGATGATCAAAAGAGCCAAAAAATGACAACGTGTGATCGCATGTTGCCCCTATGCGATCCCAGATATGCCTTTGCGATTGGAGGTTGGGTCGCAGCCTCACTTCGTGGTTTTTTCATGCCAAAAAATTCATCAGACTAGAAAAAAAGATACATGCGATTGCAGGTTGTGCCTTTGCGATCGCAGGTTGGCCAAAATGCTTCAAAATGGTAATGTACTTCATTTAAAAGGCCCGTGGTACGTTTTTGGTGATACATATGATCGCAAGTTGTGTACATGCGATCACATGCATGACATTTTTACAGCCAAACGTATAAATAGAGCCCCATACTCATCCAACAACCCTAATTGGCGATTCCTGGCGACTCCAAGGCAATTTTCAGAGGGTTTCAAGTGAAGAACGCAGATCTAAAGGAGACAATTCAATTTCTTTTCATTATTTAGTAAGATTTTCCATTTAGACTCTATTTTTACTTTTTGTAATATGTTTTTAGCCATGTCAGACTAAAAACTCAGATTTCAGTTTCGCAATACGTAACCTTTTCATATGATTAATCATTAGACACTATGTTTGACTATGATTACTGCTTATTTTGATCAATTCTATGTTAAACTGAATGTTTGATTTTGATTTCAATTTCTATTGGCCACTTAAATTGTTTGTGAATCATACTAGTCATCTGGTTGTTTAGATCCGTAATTGTCTAGACTAATTAGTAAAAAGTGACAAATATTAGATTAATTCTGAGTTTAGGGTTAAATCTAATATGAAATGTGTTAGATTGGTGTCTAAGTCCATAACTATAATTGGTATGTACTTGACCTGACTCAGCATGATCCATTTGGGTTGCATGGTATCAGAACATTTGGATAGACCGTTTGTGAGAAGAGGACATTTGTGACATATTAATATATTACAAGTTCTAATATATTAATATGAAATCATGTTATTTAATTAATATTGATCAAGAATTAATTTGGACTTAATTTAGTGATCAAAAGAGACTAATTAAATATATGGGGATTGAGTGTGTAAATCATTCATTGTTATATATGTGGGCTTATGATCCATGATTCCTTATGTTGGGTTTAACCCATGTGGTGACCCATGGATACTTCATGGAGATTAAAACCCATGGAGCATAAGGAATGGGTAAAGTCATGGGTTACATGGTGTAACCCTAATGTGCACACTATATAAGGACCCATTTGGCTCAAGAAGTTGGCACTAGTGATACATCTATGAGGGCTAGCCGATTTGAGCATGAGTGTCTTCTTCTCATGGTTATTCCAAGTGTTGATGATGTTGTGTGAACCATTTGAGGTTTCACACTTGGGGCACTAGGCTCTCGAGCTTCATGGAGTCAATCTACATCAACAAGGTATGTATTCTATCTATTTTATTACCCAAGTATCAAAGATTGTATGCTGGTTAGGGTAATACCTTGGAATATTCATATTTGCATGTATAATAGAGAAAACATAGATCCAAGGTATTTAGGGTTGCATGTACACATTAGGAGTGTTAGAATGCTCAAAACCCAACAAAATGATCAAACATGTTTTAACGCCTCCGAGCTTATGAGAGGTATTGAACTTTACTGGGAAACTACACTGTGTCTAAAGCAACTTTTCTTTGTTAATCAAGAGCTTGTTTGGTTAATTTAGTAAAAAGTTAGGTTTAATTCAAAGAACTTATTTTGATTAAATGATTTTTGTAATAGCGGTCATTAGAGCTTGTTAACGAACCTTAGTAACCGTTTAAACAAGTGCATAGTCAAATA